ACCAACTGTCGCGTAACTTTTGAGCTCAGCGTACTTTACAATCCACAAATTCACATGCGCCGATAAGTGACGAGGCGTAAATCAAATGACCACCGTAAATCGCTCGCGAGTTCACGAGTCGTCCCGATACTTCGTGGCTCGTTTAAACCAACGCCGTCCGGCAGCTGAGTTTATCTGGAACGCAGATGTTGCTGCCTACAAAACGACTTTTGTATACGCGCCAAGCAACACCGTGTAGGTATTTTATTACAGTGTGCGCGCGCGCGAACATCATGACATTCGCGAAATCATCAATAAATGCGATAAAAGATGAAAAAAGCCATCTGTCAGACATCAATGGCGGCTAATCTTCGTGTACAAGTATGTCAAATATACAATCAAGGTGCAATCACGTCTCGAACTTGCTCGACCAAGTGAGATTCCAGTTAAATTGCCGATTGGATTTTACTGCGCGAAATTATGCCAGAGGTAAGGTTTTATTACGAAACGGATTGTCAATTTTTACAATTAGCGTCCGGATATCATACGGCATCTCGGTCCCACGATCTCCCATTCGACGCGCGAGCCCGTCCTTCCTATTCTCACAACTGTTTTTGTCGTGAAAATATTTTCCTATCGAAGGGTGTCGATTGCCAGAGCGGCGACGCTTCGTTTCGAGACGTAATGCGAAATAAGTGGAAGTGGAACGACGACGATCGCGAGCGAATAAGAAATCGGACGAAGTAAGGCGAACCCGGAGTCGCGGCGAGATTCAATCTCAACGGGTGAATTCACCATGAAACGTCGCGATTCACCACATATAAGCGTTTTCGCGCGGCCTTCTTGCCCGTCCTCGCCATTTTCTCGCATCTGCGTTTCCTCCTTCGCAGATTTTTCTCTCTTTCGATTCATGTTTCACACGTTTGCCTCCGCTCCCCCCCCCCCTATGATGTAACACTCCACTGTACGCTGCTTCTTGCGCCGCTTTTTCATCCACGGACTTCTTGCCACTCGCGGAAAGAGCTATTGTTTAGCGAAATTGGTGTAGTGATTTTTACACCTTCGGTACGTTATACAGGATGTAAACTAATTTGCGCCCACTATTTATGTAGCGATTTCCTCGTGAAAAACTAAGGCCCGGTTTTTCATTTTCTGGTTAAATGTTAACCAGAGGTTTGTCGATTATCCGTCTCTTCTTAGGTAATAACATAGAAAAAGATGGAGAGTCGATTAACCTCTGGTTAACAGTTAACCAGAGAATGAAAAATCGGGCCTAAGTCGAAATAATACAGGAAATATTGAAGCGAGTGCTTTGACTAGCATTTATCGGCGATTTATTAATACTACTAGTTTATATATTTTTTACGGAATTTATAAATAAAAATACATGTGTAACAGTGAATTTTTAACTATTTTCGGACGATTGTGTCTCGATTAACCGTCAACTCATTGTCAGTTGCGTTTATTGTACGCCGTATTGTATAACAGGCTTGAAGCTGATATTACATTTGTCGTACGACACATTTTTCAAGTGTTGATTGGCTGCATGATAGTAAAATTCTCGAGTATCTAAAAATGTTCTATTCAGCAGCCAATCAACACGCTTAAAAAAATTAGTCGTACGACAAATGTCATATAAGGCTAAGGCGCGCGGTTCACTAACGTGCGTTGGAAAGCGATGCTGATTGGCCAACTTTTAATCAATAATAACTACCTTATGATTCGAACAAATGGCTCGGGACTTTTCGACTCAGTTTTTCATGAAGAATATCACTGTATAAATAGTGGACGCGAATTAGTTTACACCCCGTATATCGGCGCGATGGGAAATGACGCGTAACGTTATAACAAAACAATTTTTTTTCGATTTAAATATACGTAACAATTTTCGATTTAAATATCGTCGCATCGCGACGACTGTATGTTCACTGATAATCCTATCTCTAAGCTCGGTTATTACAGAAACTACTGTAATCAGAGCTAATACGGGGCCGGCCAAGAATGAACAATTTCCGCCTACGTAGAGCAGTGCAAACTTTGTACGGCGCGCTGCAACCAGCACCGTACAGTAAATCAGTATAAAATCGTAAATATTGAACCTCCCCCGCCCCCCGTTATCTCCGGGGATAAAAGGCAATGATACGTGGAAGAAGCTATTTATTGCGATAATTATTTACGATGAAGACGCCTGCACGACCTAGGAAGCGCATGATTAAATTGTATATCGCGGTAAAACCCGCCAAGTATAATGTACGATAATGATGTACCGCATTCTTTCGGACATAGCAAAAACGAAATTACTCTATCAACGTCGGCGTCAGCTTTAATTGCGCGCGCACAATCTAAGAAGTGGATTATGAACTAATTACAACGTACGTACAGTGTTACAACATGTATTACGTTAATCGTATCTATAACTGTTAGAATCGCTGGTTCTCCATTTTCAGCAGTAGACTACAGTTATACGGGTTTCCCTTATTTTTGGACACACGGGAAAACAATGACGTGTCAACAATATCAGTGCAATTGAAATAAAATGGTTGAAACAACATCGGTATTAATGAATGGAAAACATCAGACAGTTGTTTTAACAATATTTAGTTCAATGCTTAAAATCAATAGCAAATACACCTGAGTGAATTATTTACCAAAATTTCGACTTGGCAAGGCATTTTTTTAATTCAACAGCATTTTTTTCGTGGAGAGACCAATGCGTTTCCATTGTAAATCGTTGTACTCGCGTGTGACCGTCCAACCCGAGGTGTAAACCGCTGGCCAAAATCATGTACATACACCAATGCCTACTCATGCATTAAAATTCGACAGTAATGCCCAGTGGGTGTTAATTTATCTAGTTTATCTTTTTTATCTTTTTAGATTCTTTATAACGCCCCGGAAAGGCCAAATAATGCCCACTAATGCACAAAAATGCCTAGTAATGTCTAGTAATGCCGTAAATCTGTGCACCACAATGCCCTCAGCGATTCGCCCCTCGATCCAATCCTTCCACTTCCGCTTATTTTACATCACATCTCGGCACGTCGAAACGCATCGTTAAATATATGTAAAAATTCGCGCGAGTCCTCGCGGCGTGAAAAAAGAAGTCTAAAGCCATGCACATTTGTCCTTGTCAGTAATAAGGGGCAAAAAGTAATATATGTTAGCCATTAACGAGAAAGCGGGATGTCCTAACATGGCGCGAATTCTTTCCCCCGGCGTTTCGTTTCAAGAAGTCCCGGGCTCCTCGTTTATAAGTCTTGGCCGTTTTCGTCTTCGATCCTCTCGCGCATAAATAACAGAACGGCGCGTATAAATACACGTAGGAAGGCGAATCTTGCGGAGTTGAGATTATATCGGCCCGCATTATTCGCCGCTTAATGCGCGCTGAATGATGCCGCTCGTTTGCTCACTCCACCGGACTGTCCAATTGCCCACTCGTACGGTTGCCGTTTAAAGTCCGCGTATAATATATCTCCTCTCCATCGTCGAGGAGCTAGCAGGAATCCGTCCGTGGACGGGCGACACCAACGGTATCCCCTGCCCACAACCGCGAACGTCGTTCCGCTCGAGGACGTCGCCGTCCAACGACGTCGTCGTGCTTGCTTAGCTACCGAAGACAAGTGGTACACCCAGCATACGATACATTTGTATACCCTCACGACGTCTGTATGCTCGGCTAACAATCGGCGGGTTGACTGATGCAACGCGGTGCGCATTAGTATCGCGAAAATATCTCTAGAGACGTATGTCTCATTGTTCAGCTTCCTTGTAAAAGATTAGCGAGTTTATTACCAGTCTGTTGATATAAATGTGTGATTGTAAAATGTCATTTTTATTATTGTCGACGCAATTACTTTGATTAATCAACTCTTTATGAGTAAAGTAGTCGCAAGGTGAATTGACTTTTAGAGAGATTTCTATTTTAGATTTTTAAGCGGATTCAGATCAAACAAATTTACGAATTTTATTTCTCTTCTTTTCTCACATTATCTGCTGCTTCTACATTTTTTAACTATTTTTCGTCATGTCATTCGGAATCGTATACATATGAATATGTAATATACAAATGAAAATGTAATATGAAGATCGCCAATCAACTTGGAGCTCCTTAACGATAAGCCCAAATGATTGTATAAATCAGCCTGGAGCTTGTAATATATTTTTTATTGGTCATAAAAATAGGCCAAACTTGTGAGATTATTTTCAAATGTTAACGGTGCCACCTTGTAAAATCTTTTCGCACACGTACGGTTCGCCGACAAGTCGAAATGGAATTTGCTTCATCGACTGTAGATATCCAGACTTGAACCGAGTCGATCAAGAGAGTCTCGCCGTAAGCATGCTTGATAACTTACGAGAACAACTTTTCGTTTAACGTCAATGTTTATTTCTGCAAGTAAAGCTTGCCATATTTTAGAAGCGTTCCAAATTGTTTGCACATAGGTACCCAAAAACTTTTTTAAAACCTCAATACGATCGTTAAGTAATTTATCATTGTAAAAGAAATTTCGTTATATACTACTTAAGTTTTTTTTCTTACGCTAAAATCGTATAAACTAAAACATAACATTTTTAAGTTGTGTTAACGTTCATTAATTTTCTCATTTATTCATTTATGTTCACTGATTTACTTATGTGAGCATCGTTTCTAATTTCATCATTTATAAAATGAGAGATATTAAAATTACAAATTCGAAAAATGTTTTACAACTTAAAAGTTGGTTCAAATAAAAATGACAGAAAATAAATTTACATTTATTGCAATTTGATTTCTATCCAACTTATTAGATTGCAACAAAAAAGATGTCCTTATTAATTTATATGATTGAATATGTGAGATATCCGACCTGAATATCTTTATTTTAATAATGAGCTTACTTGAACATCTATTTTTTTAATATGACATGCTAATAAAAATGAAAAATATCGTTACTGGAATTACGGAGTAGTTGCTACGACACGATTCTCGGAACGAACGCAGCCAAACGTATATAGGACGGTTCGGATCCAAATTTAGATCAGTGTACGGTAGGACAACGTCGAACACGAAACTTCTAATGCAGTTTCTTGATCCATTGGTTTTCCCTGCACTATTTCGTTGAAATTTCAACAAGTTTCTACCGACAACGGAGATCTTAGTTCATTCCAATTGAAAGAGCATTGCATCGAAATGAGAGAATACAGTTGATAAACATGGAGGTAATAGAATAAGAATGTGTAAGATAGTAACGTAGTTCTATATTAGTGTAGAGTGACACAATTTTCGAGTCTGGTGTCACTTTTATTCCTAAATATATTAAAACTTACACTAAAGAATTAGAATAATAAAGAATGAAGAATAAATCACGATCGATCACATATATACTTTCAAAAACCCTTAATTAAAGTTGAAATCGTAAAATTAATTGTAAATAAATGATTTAAGAAAGAGAACTTAAATCCAAATTAAAATCTACGTTTAACATTGACGTTTTGCTATTCGATGCCAGTATCGATAAAGTTTACAGTAGTGTTGTGCAGACGAGAAAGAAGAAACTATTACGGAATTACTAAAATTTAAGAAAGCTAAAGAAATGAAGAATTAATCCAACGAGAAAGAAAAAACAGGAATTACCTGCATACGATAAGTAATCCGAAACTAATCCGAAACTAATCCGGCCCACATATTTCCAGCTCTTACACATTAATTATTCCCAGTGTTGCAGTACGAAGTCGTGTGGCGTGCGGAACGCACGTATATTTGACATTGCGTTGTAATTATTTATATGTGTATATTAATTAAGACGCACAATATCTCGCGCCAAACAAATTTACCATTGCGTTTTACAGATTAAAATGGATCCACGACAACATCTGTTTTCGATTGCGTTAATTTTATTAGTACTGGCAGCACGCACATCCTACGGCGTCACGCGACCAATAAAAATCGGTAAGCAGTACATGATCATCTTTGAAGACTAATAAATTTCAGAAAACGTACCGCTTATGTGTGGAAATGTTTAAAAAATTATTTAATAGCAAATCTAATAGGCGGAGATTGGAACAATAATGTTTACTGGCGTGAAAATGTAAAAAGTAGTTTAATATAATATTCTATTTAACGAATGTTATTACGCATGTTAAGACTGCGCAATAATCGAATCTACAAGCCGGTTGTTGTTTGTCTTTTTCTTTACGACGAATTATTACATTCTAAAATATAATTGAATTTCTATATAAAACATGGTTTCCGAATAAAACGGAAGAAATATCTGGCAGAAAAGTTTCTCAATACCATAGAAATTAAAGAATGTACATAATGGAATACTTTTAGGATTAAAGTTTCTGTATTATTGAATTTTGCGCGATGTTATCAATATATGCTGACAAAGTCATACGAAAGAAATATTTTTAACGATGTTCACATGCGCGCTTGTTACTTAATATTGATCCGACACTCATAACGTAAATTAACACGATTCACTGCGTAATTACTATCATCGTCAGTCACTATTAGCCATGTATATACATATATTATATGTACATTAGCCATTATTCAAGAAAATACAAATAATAATTTCGTAGATAAAATTTCGATAGAAAATTAATTGCGGTTACATATTTTTTTTAACTTCAATTTATTATTAATCACCAAATACGAATCTATTTGTAAAGAATTAAGCATATTTGTTAATCACATTTTTCGTTTCAATTGCATGCTATATTTCACGTTTATTTAAAAAGCATCTAATTTTTATTTCTCAAATTCACTGTTTTAAAATCAGCCTTGTGTTTATTATACTCGTGCGCGCGTGTGTGTATATGCTAATACGGTACACTTTAATTATAATCTAGCAATGCTAGACTTTTTTCTAATACAGAATTGATATCTTTAGGAGCAATTTTTCATAAGGGCGATGAGGATCGAATATCTACGTTCCTAACAGCAATCTCAAAGACAAAATACGAAAATTTTGCGCCTGCATTCGAGCTTATTCCTGTCACTAAGTATGTTGATGTTAATACCGATAGCATGAAAACTGCTATCGCCGGTGAGTACGCGGATATCAATTATTTCGACTAACGATTTTGTCATAATCTCTGATCAATTTTTTTTAAATAATTCTAAATATACGGTATTTTCCCACATAATATATTTATTTTAATTCCGAAAGCAGAAATTTGAAAAAAAATTTAGAATAGCTTTACAGTTATAAAATATAACTGAAATATCAAATCATTATGTTTAAACATGTCTCCGTCCTCTCTAAAAAAAAACGTGCAAAGTCTAATCTATCGAAGTATTGTTGGCTCTTTTCCGCAATGCTAATTGATTCTCTCGCTTGGTTCACTTTGTGCTACGAGAGTAGCTGTCAGCGCGGAGATCATGTATATTTTCACAACGTCACGTTACATCTTGTTACGTTGTGTCTTCTTTGCATGAAGGAAAGCAATGTGCGAAGTAGATTACAAATAAATATATGTTAAAACTAAATAGCGCGCTACGTCTAGTAAATGATAAAAAATTAATTAAAGTATATTACAAATCAACCAAGCGAGAGCGCCTTTAGGTCCGAGCAAGATGTTGGTAGCCCAATAATTTTAATCTATAATGTGAATTCATATACCGTTTTCCATTTTGTCCTGCGCGCCGGTTTCTTTTCGGACATAACGCAGTTTTATTTAGACGGAATTATTGTCGTCAGTGAATTCACATATTAAAATCGATAAACGATTTCTAATTATTAAAAAATGCTATATTTAGCATTCAATAAAGTATATTACCTCTTTTGCAATTAGATTTACACGCGTGTGAACTGGAAAAAGTGGATCCACGAAAAAGGCTCTACGATGTATTATATATTTATTCTAATCTTAGACATATTTGTTGATTTTTCATATAGCTTGTGAGCTTCTTGAAGAAGGTGTGGCAGCCATTTTCGGACCTACTAGTCGGCATACACGTGGTATAGTGGCAAGCATTGCTGCGCGATTTGATATACCGCACATCGAGTATGTCTGGTCGGAAAATGAAAGATTAGAAGAGGAAAGCGAGAAAAAGAAGACGCCATCAATGACCATAAACGTGTTCCCTGCTAGTGAGAAAGTCAGCAAGGTTAGCCGCTATATAAAACAAGCATTTTGTAATTCAGATATCAATTTCGTAAACTATATTACAAATTGGAAGAGTTCCTCTTATTTAAGTGGCAATTTTTAGACACGGATACCGAATCGTAGTTTCTGATTTCAAGATATAATATTAAAATGTGATTTTGATGTCTTGTTGCGTCTAAAGATGTATGTATGATTATTATTTTTGTAACGTTTCTCGATTGACAAAACTGTACAGGCTATTGCCGATGTCATTGAGTCAATGAAATGGCGAAACTTCGTAGCGATTTACGAAAACGATGAGGGATTGTCGCGCCTTCAGAAGACTTTGACACTAAAGGGAGACAAGGATAATCCGCTTACACATACGACACGACAATTGAACGAAGGACCGGATTATCGTACGATGCTCAAAGAGATACGTTCTTTGTCGGTGTGCAATATAATTATTGATGTCGAGCCGCAAAACATCATGGAGGTTCTCTATCAGGCGAAGGATGTCAGGCTGCTAACAGATTATTGTCACCTTGTCATAACATACTTGGTACTGTTGTTTGCTTAATTTTGATAGCGAAACCGTACTATCAAACGCGACGTATTTCACGGGCCTGAAAAGATTGTTTAATGAACTACAAATTGAATTTTTAAAGACTATCTGTACGATAGAAAAATTGAATGAAATAGAGCATAAAGTGATATATTATACGTTTTATACGTAGATTGCCAGAAGACAGATATCGTAAATTTTTGAAAAAATTTTTACATTAAAATATTCTTAGGATTCAACCAAGCTACCCCTTGTCGAAGTGCGAAACGGTACCATCAATATCACCGGACTCAGTTTGAGGGAAAACGATGTCGATGGAGTCGATTGGGTATTTATTAAAAAATGTTGCCAGTATAATTTCGTAATATTGATCATAATATAATTCCAAAAGTTGGTAATCTCTCTTCGCATATGTAACTTCTAAAAGTATTCGCGTCAAACCGAATCTGGACCGAGCAAACGGGTGCAAACAAACGCAAATAAAAAGGAAATAATATTTTTTATAAGTATGGACGAGTATATGACAAAAATTAATCTGTGTTTTTATCACGCGAATACTTGAGAAAGTGTTAATTTATTTCAGCCGACAGGTCTGTTTAACATTTTCACACTTGAAACTGAATTAGATGCTTTTTATTAAAGATTCAGAATGAAACATTTATATAGAATTAAATTGTACTAATTGAGTACTTGAACTATTCGCGATTTTGATACAGCTAGATTCAGCGATCCTCTATGACGCGGTATTTTTGCTGAATAAAGCACTAGAGGTGTTGAATACGAGAAACATTGGTAATGAGGAATATATATCCATCGATCCTGTGCCACTCTCGTGCACCAATACTAGTAGAAAATATCAAGCAGGACGTAACATTACCAGCGTTATGCGAGAGGTGGGCTCTTTCTCTTCAACATTTCTTATAAATAAAAAATAATAACTTTATATTTCAAGCTCAACCCCAAGACACGCAGAGAAAATAATTTTATTGGTGTAGACTTGTCTTTTTATAAACACTTGTATAAAAAAATTAATCTCAGAAATTAATTGATATAAAGGCACATATTAAATATATTAAGTGTGATTAATATAACAATACAATTTCGCGAATGTTAATTATTCAGATACAACTTCAATGATTTTGTTTAATATTAATTTATGTTAAAGTTTCATTATCTATTTTTATAATGTAACGAAATGTAATTTTTGCTACACAGTTATCAGACGTGGGGAAGATAACGGGCGTTATGAACATTGACGAGTACGGTCGTCGACAAGATTTTAACTTGAAGATTCTGACCTTTCGACAATATGATATTATACAATCGGGCTTCTGGGATTCCGACGGTGTGCATCTCATGCGGACTGAGAAGGAGCTAGAAAGCTACTTGTTCCAAACAATGAAAGGCAGACAATTCCTGATCAGCACCAAAGTAGTTCGTATTATTATAATGTTACTCTAATAGTTAATTTTCTCTTACATTAAGGCGCCACCTATCAGTTATCAAAATTGTGATATCTTGTAAGATCATTACGTGATTCGCAACTTACAAAAGTTGATTTAAAATATTATGTGAGTTGGAAATGATATTTTTCCGGGAAAAAAAACAATGAATGAAATGTGAAAAACGACCAATAATTTTGTCGTAGATGTCGCAGTATAGATTTGCCTTCTGATAAGTGATGTAAAGAACAAAAATAGCATAACACCGCTGATGGAACATGATTTAGCGACAGTTAACATATTAATCGATGCAATTATATATATAATTGATATAAGCTTTTCCCTCCTTTTTTTCTTCTTTAGCATGTAAATTCGTAATAAATCACACAAATATTTTTTGTCCGATTCAGACTCCTCCCTATATAATCGAGGTGACCGATGGGACAACACGCGGAGTGCTAATCGAAGAAAGCAGGTACGAAGGTTACTGCATCGATCTCATTGAGGAGGTGGCAGCATATCTAGGTTTCAAACCTAAATTCGAACTCGTACCTGACGGTCAGCATGGGAGTTATAACTCACAAACGAAGACATGGAACGGTTTAATCAAGCGTCTCCTAGACCGTGTAAGTACATTCTGTGTTTCCCGAAACTAAATGGAGATTTGTTCCAAATTTATTTTTATCGTCTTTCTTTGTCGATTAATTTCAGCAAAAAATGGAAAGATGGAATAAAAACGCAATCAAATCATCTATTTTCGTAATTAATAGTAGTTTGAAAGCGCGAAAAGTCCACATTTTGTTTAAAATCCACTTAAAAAGCGATCTTTTATCACTTTCAATTTTATCGAATTCTCTTGTGAAAATAAACAAAACATACGCCCGTTCAATTTTGCTCAACTTTTCCGTGATCAGTTATTTCTTCAAAATTATTTTTTACAGGAAGCCGATTTTGCCATATGCGATATGACAATTACATATCAGAGAAAGTCCGCTGTGGATTTCAGCATGCCTTTCATGAATCTCGGTAACACTACCAAAATGCAATATTAAAATGTTAAAACATCGTTATTCTCTCTAAGTTAAAAAAACTCAAAAATAAATTAAGACGTATCAAAATGCTATAACAACAAAAGAAATGATAACAAAACGATAAGTGTTCAATTGATCAATTTACAACAGTATCCCAATGTATTTGAAATTAGGTATCAGCATCTTATACACCAAACCGGAAGAGAGGGAGCCAGAAAATAACTTCTCATTTTTGCATCCTCTCAGTACCGATGTTTGGATGTATATGGCTACTGCTTATCTCCTCGTATCGATAATGTTATTTCTACAGGCCAGGTAAAACCCAAAATTTTTTCGTCGTTAAGAGAAAGATTAAAGAAACACGCTCGTATTAAGACTTTTCATTTTTCGACATAAATAATATAAACATTTCTGAAAACCCGATACAAAATTGGTGAATTACTCTAGTGGTAGATCATTTATTGATTTTGAAGAGGTGGATCGCCAGTGAATAAAAAACAAATTTTAAGAATTAAATCGACAATAACTGGCAAATATATTTTAATTAGTTACACGACGTTTCGGCCAGTAATACTGGTCCTTATCAAGTGTTGACCCATTAAGACTTATTGTTATTGTCGATTTAATTCTTAAAATCATTTACTGAATTGATCGCGGCCTCTATTGTGACTTTTCGACCAACCAATCTTAAAGCTCGCACTTCCGATTTCGGAAAATTATATTAGAAACCTTACGGAATTATATTCGCTGAAGATGACCCGAATTGTGGGCCTAAATGTGCGAGCTGAACTGGCTTAATTATGTAATGGATACATTAAACTTGTATGTTAACACACTAATAACAGTGTAGAACTCTCAAGCCCTTTATATTTGAAGAATATGAAAATTAGTGAATGAAAAAAAGACTATTGTCGTACATGACTTACATTTCGTAAATTTAAATTTCTTTTAGAATGGCGCCTGGTGAGTGGGATAACCCACATCCATGCAATGCCGATCCCGAGGAGCTTGAAAACAATTTTAACCTTAAGAATTCGTTATGGCTAACCATTGGTTCTCTCATGCAGCAAGGCTCGGATATTCTGCCCAAGTAAGTTTTAAATTTTTTAATATTTTGTATTATTATTCATAAACATATAAACATTCAGGAAATTATTCTTTTAACCACAAAGATTAACTATTGTAGTTAAGTCATTATTTGTATCATTCTTACGCATGTTTATGGTAATGCTTTATATATCATTTCCGGTTAGTGTACGTACGATTTCTAGTAATTATTGTAGCGTAATTTCACGTATTTTAAATATGCTGCAATAAATTTCGTAAGTAACTTGACTCGTATTGAATTTATCTATAGTATTTTACTGCTAAGTGTTTATAATTCGATACGGTACTCTTTTCACGTTTCAAACTAATACATACACACATAATGTAATCACTTTCAGAGCACCGTCTATTCGTATGCTCGCAAGTATGTGGTGGTTCTTTACTTTGATCATGATCAGTTCGTACACAGCGAATCTGGCTGCTTTTCTCACTGCGGTGAAAATGGAAGCACCTATTAAAGGTGTTGAAGACCTAGCTAAGCAAACTAAGGTAATTATGCGTATTAAGACGATCTTATAGGTTTCAATACAACCTTGATATATATTAATAAAGACACGACCACGAGTAACTTTTAAGGGTACAATATTAGTTTCTTCTTAAATGTACAATGTGTGAAAGTTACATACTCTTCATTAAAATCATTTTGTTAATAATTTTCATGAAACAACGAGCGGCGATTAAGACCTTTTTACTCGAAAAGTACTCAGGATTGTGTCCCTAATAATACAGAGTGTTATGTATAATAACACCCGCCTCACCTCTTATTTACGGATAAAGCGGATTAGACTGAGTTGAAAAGTATTTTACCATTTTGCAATTTTCGCAATAGTACGAGTTTAACGAGTTATTAACGAGTAGGCAGGGCTAAGACAGGGATTTTTAATAATTCATATCTCGTTAATTATTGCGAAAATTGTAAAATGGTAGAGGACTTTTCGACTTAGTCTAGTCCGCTCTATCCGCAAATAAGAGGTAAGACGGGTATTACATAACACCCTGTATATATCAAACCATCAAAATTTATGAGGTCATCTCTAATATGTATAATTATCCCAAGATCAAATACGGAGCGATGCAAGGTGGCGCGACATCAACATTTTTCAAAGTATGTTAGCAGCTTACTTATCGACACATTCGGTTCACTTATAAAAATAATTTATACGTGTATAAATATAATTCAATATTGCCCAATCGCAGGATTCGAATTATTCGACATACAAAAGAATGTGGGCTGCCATGTCGGAATGGAGGCCGAGCGTGTTCACTGCAAGCAATGATGAAGGTGAGCAACTCCAAAATCAAAGCTAAGTAAAAATCTTTTTTTACGAAAAGGGTTATATTACTCGAAAAAGAAAACACATTTTCTTCTTGGATTCTGTTTATACCTATACGGACTCTTTATCGCGACATGTTCCAGGTGTCGACCGAGTTGTCAAGGGCAAGCGTCAGTACGCCTTTCTCATGGAATCCACGACTATTGAATACAAAATGGAGCGCAACTGCGAACTCGACAAAATAGGTGGCCTCATTGACAATAAGGGCTACGGGATCGCCATGCCACGAAGTAATATCGTAACCCGTACATCTAATATTTCTCCATTTCTTTATCTCTATGTACATATAAGAATCGTTTCTGTTGTATCCTCCGCAGATTCCCCATACAGAACATTGATCAACAAAGCAATACTAACGCTAGGAGAAACGGGCAGGTTACAGGCATTGAAAAAAAAGTGGTGGCAAGAAATGGGTGGAGGATTGTGCGTAAAAGATGACGCGGACAAAAGTGTTAACTCAAGTGAATTAGGTCTTTCAAACGTCGGAGGCGTGTTTCTCGTTTTGATGTATTGTTGCGGCGCTTCGCTCTTTGTTGCTCTTTGCGAGTTTTTATGGAACATACGCAAAGTCGCTGTGAGAGAGAAGGTAAGCCTTTTTCTTGTTAAAAATTAATCTTGCAGTATAAATATTTTGGATTAAATTAATTGATATTTCTTTTAACATTTTGACCGTCAAGCTGATTTTAGCGTTGAATCCTGAGAAGCTCAAAGTCGAAACATAAAATTTTGATTTTGTTTCTTTACATTGCAAATTAAATTATGAAACGAAATGCGTAATGGGCGAATTTTAATATCTGTTACTCCAGCATTAAATTTAATACGTCAGTTACGCCGCGCATCATTTTCGGTACAATATGCTAAAGTGAATTATCATTTTTTATACAGATCACGCCATGGGAAGCGCTAGTTGCCGAGCTGAAATTCGCCGTCAATATTTTTGCGGTTAAAAAACCTGTCAAAATTGCCAAGAGCAATAACAGCAGTGCGAGCTCCATGGAAGGTGGAATTGGCAGAGCTGCATCTACGGCTCGATCAATCGTTGGCTCGTTCCTTCGCCTCGACATGCTCGATAAATTTGATAAAGATCACAACACGGACAACCGCGGCAATGATCGTAAAATTAATTGACGATCGCCAGGGGACTTGAACTAATCACCAAGTTTTGAGATAACACAAAATTGAATACGAAGGCCTTGCACTAGCATACTATAAACGTATATATCTAATCGATAATAAATATACATACATACCGATTAACAGGGCTGGCAAGTAAATCGTTACTTGTAACGAAGTTACAGTTACAGTTACTTCTTTTTGATAACTCTAACTTAACTTCGTTACTTTCTCATTATCGAATTATGACCCCCGTCCCTGCCTATTCGAATCCCTACCTACCTACCCGTATTCCGCTGTATAATCCTATCCATTTTCCTACCTATCCGCGTTTCAACTTTTTGTTAATAAACCTACAAGTCTTTCGTTAAAACCGCGACGCGATGTATAAGAGGTCCGATTTGGAGTTATACGCGCGCGATTTAATAGAGATTTAATAGGAGTCTTTTTACCAGGGTTGTAAACCGGAGCAAAAATACGTTCTTTGGAGCGGTTTTGAACCGGTTCGAATTTAAAAACCGCTCCGAAAACCGGATGAATTTACGGAGTAAATTATTTGGAACTTGGGATGTAAACCGAACCGGAGCGAATAAGATTGTAAACCGGAGCATAAATACGTTCTTTGGAGCGGTTTTGAACCGGTTCGAGTTTAAAAACCGCCCCGAAAACCGAATGAATGAAGTAAATTATTTAGAACTTGGAATGCAAGTCGAACCGAACTGGTGAAATTTGCACATTTACCACCTTTCCAGCTATGTAGCAAAGATTCAAACGTGGTAAATCTTTTTAAATAAATTAAATCCTTTTTAGATAAAGAAACCGCTCCAAACCGGTTTTTCATGCTCCGGTTCGAAACCGGAGCGTTTGAAATCATAATAAAAAACGGTTCGCTCCGGATCGGAACGATTTTATAATTGAAATTTTGATCCGTTCTCTCGGAGCGGATATACTTCAATGGTTCGGTTCGGTTTACAACTCTGCTTTTTACTCTCGCACATATGCGAAAATATGTAAAGAAGGTAAGAATATAACCCACCCGAATTTTGACAAATAAGGAGAAATCAACTTATTTCGTACATCACCTTACTCACATATCCGATCAAAGTGGCCAATATTGACCACTTACAGCGTCGTTGGGCCAGATTGGACCTACCTTGCGTCGCTTCTGGCCATACAGTCTGGTCATTTTGACCAGAGATCAGGAAGGAAGAAAACTCCTTCCATAGTCGGTTTATTCACCGACAGATATTTCGTGCGGTTCGAACAATATGCGAGCGTCGATCGTATCGAAATACACGAGAAGTTAATTAAACAAGAAAATTAAGTAGAGAAAGCTGTATAAAACTCATCAAATATGTTTTTACTTGTATGGAAATGTTAAGTCGCCAGTAATCGAAGAAAAATAGTCAAGAATTAACTAGAAAGAACTCTTGCTGTAACATTTGATGGAGGTAACGTAATTCTATACTTGAAAAGGACCAGTATTACTGGTCGAAACGTCGTATTTTTATTAAATAAAAATTACTTGCCAGCATAAGTTGTTTTAATTCTTGACTATATTTTTACTTCTATTATTTATTCGAGAATAGAAAATGACTGTCTCTTTGGGACTCAACTTTTAAATTCGAAATTCAAGTATACATATAGTATATAGAATACATATAGTATATAGAAAAAACGACTTACTTCGCGTTATGTTTATTTCAATTACGTTTCGCGAAAAATTTAAATTTATATTATGCATGAAATTAAACAACTAATAATTTCTTAAAATTGTTTGAAAAATTGATCGCGAAGACCGACCGCGTAAACCGACCGCGAAGATGCGAGTAACTATGCATGTATTCATGCGTATCGCATCTTGAAATTGTACACTGATACATATACATAATAAATGACGTGAGATTAAAAAAAAGAAACTTTCCGTACGATAAATAGACCGACAATTGAATCTCGAGTAATATATCAAAATAAAATAAAGTTTCAGCGTTCACGACAAAACATTAGAATCTCAAGTCACTTTACTTTATATATAAATGTTTTAATGAAAAATGGACGGGCTACAAGAGCAAATTAGCTCGAAGAATACGTCAAAAATATTCATATTTTGCGTGAAAATGTGTTGTCTAGTATATTAAAATAAATTATGTGAAATTATGTCGCAATCCGTCCATTTTAAGGCAACGAACCTACAAGATATATTCATCTACGATCTACGATCCTACTTTCTACGATCCTACTATCTACGATCTACAAGAGGTAGATTCGTTGCCACAATACAAGAGTTTTGGACTCACCGTCCGATGCGCAGCAGCGGAGTTGGCTACGTTGATTCTGAAAGATAGAAATAGAACTTATTAAAACAGTGTTCAATGTGAAAAATAATATTGGAAAAGATAAGTGATTCTTATGCGTGTCAAACTTGATTCGGTTAAATATTCAACTGATTAATGCGCGGAGAATTTTCCGCGAAAGATCTTGACGAGAATGAACTTTTATAAAATTTTAATTTCCCGTTCTCTAATTATTATTTCGAAATAATGGAACTGTGAAATGAAACGATTAAAAAATAAGCCGGAAAACCCGATTGCTTGTGCACAAAATGAAAGCAATATTTACCATGAGGTTGCTCCGCTGGCGCCCGATGTCCCTCCAGGACCTGCTCCTCCACTCAGGCTGTCCTCTGGCACTCGCGAAAACACCAAGATCGTTCGCGCGATTTTACACTCCCGTGGAAGGCCCATGTCGTGGAAGGCTCCACTTCGAGTCGACGAGTTAGTTGAGACACACGGTATTCATGAACAAGAGCACTTCAACGCGAGCCTCAAAAACTGCCGAATCTCCAAGCGTGGCCATCGGCAGAAACGGACATTTAACGAACACTTCTCACATGGGGCTTCGAAAAGTCTTCAGTTCGATTGTAAAAGCGGCACTCCCGAACGCGACGAAGACGAAAACTTTCGTTATACGCGCACTTTTGTACGTAGATTTATTAGAGAGATGTATTTAACTCGAACCAACGAAAATGTTTAAGCACGACGCGAGAGAGAGAGAGAGAGAGATTTATCCGAGTTCGATTGTTAAAACATGTATTATCGCTCGTGGATGTAAGTGTCGGAACTAATTAATAACGCGTGAACACATCGTGAAGAATCAACGGTACGATTACGGATCGCGGCAGTCACTCGAGCGCGATTGACAAATGGTAACTACCCTCGTACGAGACGATCGCGTTGCGCGGATGATCGAGATGATCGAGATGATCGGGATTCACGTGGAAAATAATCGCGTTACGAGGTGCGACGCGAAGACGCGCGGCGGAACGTTCGCCTCGCTCGACTGAATGGCGCGGACTAACCCGGCACAATAGATTGTTTTTCAACGAGGTGTTAACGGCGCTACGTCATTTCTTGGAATCTCGGCGCTCGACCGAGTTGTTTACAACGCTCGGTCTACATTCGGCAAAAAAAAAAAAACAGTCACGTCAACTGTCGGTTAGCGGCACGTGATACTCCGCATATCGTAGTTTCTTTACGCGTTCGCGAACGTTCTCTGCGAATAATCCGCGATCGACTACACCTCGTGATCGTGAAGAATCAACGGTACGATTACCGTTCGCGACAGTCACTCGAGCGCGATTGACAAATGGCAATTACCCTCGTACGAGACGATCGCGTTGCGCGGATGATCAAGACGATTCCGCGACCGGCGAGAAGACGCGCGAGACACGGGACGAGCTCACTTCGCGGCGCGGAAAGTCTGGAGCGTGCCGGGTGCGAATTCGCCAACATGACGGACGTGACCGTCGCGAGGGGCGACTCGCCGGCAAGTGCGCGATACGCGAACGATACTGGGGCTGCGTTCGGGGAGACGCTATTAGCGCTGAAAACGTCAGTCTATCTTCGTCACTTACTGTACGTCGAACAAAGATAGAAGACGCTTTTAGCGCTGAAAGCGCGCTTCCCGAACGCCACCTTACGAGTAACGGCGCACTGAGCGGGAATTACAGGAGAGGACGAGGGGACGAGGCGCACGTCACGAGCGATCCGCCGAAAAACGCGAAGATACGCATTATAGATATATATTTATTATCGTCACCGACAAATATTTCGTACGGTTCGAACTATATGCGATGAGCGTCGATCGTATCGAAATGCACGACCACGAGACGTTAATTTAAGAAGAAAATTAATTAAAACATTTTTCTGTATAAAACTACTCAAATATATTTTTACTTCCGTTATTTATTCGAGAATAGATAATGACTGTTTCTTCGTGACTCAATCTGTAAATTCAAAATTCAAAAATATACCTATGTATATAGTATGTATGTATACCTATGTATATAGAAAAGCCATTTACTTCGCGTTATATTTTAATTACATTCCGCGATAAATTTAAATTTATAATATGGATGAAAAGAAACAATTAATAATTTCTTGAAAATATGCTAAAAAACTGATCGCGAAGACCGACCGCGAAAATACGAAGATGCGTTAACTATATGCATGTATTCATGCGAGACGCATCTTGAAAGTGTATTGCGAGATATACGAGTACATACAGAATAAATGACGTGAGACCCAGAGAAAAGAAACTTTCTGTACGATAAATAGACCGACAATTGAATATTCTAGTTAATCAATAATCTCAAATTATGTGTAAAAATAATATAAAGTTTCAGCGTCCTCAACAAAATATTAGAATCTCACGTCATATTATTTTAATTTATATATAAATTTGTGAATGAAAAATGGATAGGCTACAAGAGATTAGCTCGACGAATACATTAATAATGTTCGTCATAGTTTGCGTAAAAATATGTGTTGTGCTGCTACGGGGCATCCAACCCTCCACAGTGAAAATTTCCGATCACTCTCTTTCTATAGATGAAATATATTAAAATAAATATAAAATTATCTTGTATACTCTATCCATTTTTAGGCAACGGATCTACGAGATATACTAATCTACAATCTACGAGCTGCAATCTACGATCTACGAAATGTAGATTCGTTGCCTAAATAAAAAAGTTTCTAACTCACCACTCGATGCGCAGCAGCGGAGTTAGTTATGTTGATTCTGTAACATACAAAGATAGAATTCATTAAAGCAGGGTTCAATGTAAAAACTAATATGGCAAAAT